AAACTCAACTGTTTAACTCTAGGGGAGTTGGAAAATGAGCCTATTTTCAAAAATAGTGGAGTGTTCCTTTAAGCTCACCAAGTCTACATTGTAATATTGTGAAATATTATTACAATTTTAATAACAATTTACAATTTAAAATTTTTTTAATATTGTAATACATTTTAAAATGTAATTTATATCTGTGGTGGCAAAGCTGAATTTTCATCAGCCATTACTGATTTGGTAATCAACAAACATTTCTTATTTCTTAACATTTCTTGTTCAATGTTTAAAAGAGTATTGTTAAATAATTTGTGGAGAAGATGCTTAAGAAAATTTAAAATTATTTGGAATAGGAATATTTTGATACATTATAAATGTCGTTACTGTAAATTTTGATAAATTTTTTCTGTCCTTGCTGAATAAAAGTATCAATTTCTTTAAAAAAAAGAAAAAAAAAAAAAAAACTTACTGACCCCAAACATTGTTACTTAAAATGCTTTTTCAGCATTGTGATTCTTTTTTTACACAGTGCAGTAGCTAATTCAATCTTTCATGGATGTTTAAACGCAATAACATTATAAATGTCGTTACTGTCAATTTTGATAAATTTTTTCTGTCCTTGCTGAATAAAAGTATCAATTTCTTTAAAAAAAAGAAAAAAAAAAAAAAAACTTACTGACCCCAAACATTGTTACTTAAAATGCTTTTTCAGCATTGTGATTCTTTTTTTACACAGTGCAGTAGCTAATTCAATCTTTAAACACGATTGATGTTTAAACACAATAAATATAAGAAACACATTATTCAATGCTTTTAATTTTGCATTTACTTCTAGATGGATATATTAAGTTGCTCAAGCAAGTGGCAAAACATTTATCACAATAAATCACGATACATTATCACAAATATTCTAAATTAAAACTTACCATTGACAGAAACAGTCAGCTCTACTGCCTTTTCTTTTGCATTTAATTCTTTATTACTAGCAATCCTGCGGTTCATAAAGAACTTTGCTTTCCTACTTCCATGAGTGCCATCTATTATTGCCTTGTTTATCTAAAAGTGCTCTTTTCCTTTAAACCTAGTTAAAAAGCCATAGCCTATGTTGACTGTGAAACTCTGCAGAGACTCCTGTTTGTTCTTCTGTTAGTGCTCCTCCCCATATGTGACAACCTTTGCTCTCCTTATCCACTGTTCCCATAGTTATCGCACACGTGATGAGATCCAGGAGGTGCGCAGTAAGAGTGACCCCATCTCGATGCTGAAGGATCGCATGCTGAGCAACAACATGGCCAGCGTGGAGGAGCTTAAGGTGAGCCTGCAGAAGCTTACGAGAGACAGACTGAAGTAGGACACAATCACTGAGATAGTGACTGTTGGTCTTGTGTGTGTCAGTCACATTGGTGGTTAAGATAGGGGATTACTCAATTATAGGAAAGGAAAAGACGTGTGGCCAAGTAATTCTTCATGCTGAAAGATGGACATTTCTGCACTTTCACTAAACACTGACACCTTTTGCAGGAGATTGATGTGGAGGTAAGGAAGGAGATTGAAGATGCCGCTCAGTTTGCCACCACAGACCCTGAGCCTCCACTGGATGATCTTTGCAACCACATCTTCTACAATGACCCTCCTATGGAAGTGCGTGGCACCAACCCCTGGACCAAGCTCAAGTCCGTCAGCTAAATCGTTTTCCTTATCATCCCAAGTCCCCTCCTCTTCCTACCAGTACACCCTCTCCTGTTGAAGCGCACAGCAAAATATGATCACCTCTGATGTTGCTATAGGTTTCATAGACAGTTATTGGGAAACTCAGCCAAATCTCTCAGCCACATTGAGATAAGTTGCCTCATTTCACATGTTATCATTGCCTTGTTTTCTTGTTGTCTTCACCAATCAACAACATAGCGGTATTTAACTTGGAATTATCGGGACTTTTCAAATGTCTCCAATGCCACTATTGCTTATTACCCAGTGTCCATGCCATGGCAGAATATTTAGCTCATGTCCATACATCACAAACACCTACCATTGTTGGTCTGTGTCAACACACACACACACACACACACTTCTCTCACTTTATATATCAGCAGGAGTGTGTTTTGGCTAAGGTGTCTGAAATGCAGTCCTAATTTGACAAAATATTTAAAGGGAAAAGTTTTGACATTTCTAAATTATAAATCTGTGTGGCCATATTACAAACGTTTTTGGAATATTTAATTTCGGTTGTATTTTAACACTCTTCCAACACTCTGAGTGTTTTGAGTGTTTAATAAAACGCAACAATAAAACAAGATTTAAAATAAACAGCTGAAAATGTGGCTTTAGAATGGGAAACGATTAATAGATTTTTACCCTCTCACTCTCTTCAATTTTTATTTAAAACAGGACTTTTGTTTTTCATCTATTTATTATGAGAAATTGCATTTGTTACAAACAATGTTACTGGGGATATTCACATTTGGCAATTCCAGTGTATTAATGGTTGTTTTAAAAGAATGTTTGTTTCAAATCTCTTGAGAATCAGGAAAGTAAAAATTAAAATAGAGAAAGTAAAAAAGTGTTGCAATAGATGTTAGGATGTGGTTGAGATGTTAAAGGGGGCATCAGAATGACAAGGTTAAAACTTTATGCCGCTAGGATGAGTCAACATGATCAGGCAATGTATGTGTCATACAATGTGGACTTGTATGTGTCATACAACTACAAATAAATATTTCAAATACAATCTTTGTGAGTAGATGCATTTATGTTCTTCTACTATTTGTTAAAGATATAGTTAAATGAAAACTGATACATTCCTTAACCCTATATAAAGAATATTTGATACATGAATTTCTAAGCATGGTCAAAACATGGTGAAAAACCTATTTTACATAATCTACTACATGCCTTCTCGCATCTGGTTGATAGTTTATGCTTTTTAGCAAGTAAAAGGCCTTTTAGTATAATTCTAAAAACGTCACCCTTCAGATTGTGTTAAATGTGTATTTTTGCTGTGAAATCTTTTTTTTTCTCATTCTCATTCAAGTAAACCAGCTTGGTTTTACTTAATTATCCATACATTTATGTTTTTATATTCTAACATACATCAAGTTAAAAAGTATCACACACACAATATACATTTTATCATATAAGTATCATTATCTGCAAATTACATATTTTCATTCATTTTGGGCCTTTGAGTAAAATTGCGGTGTTATTTCGTCCTCGAGTGAGAGCTGTGTCACACTATATGTTCTATGTGTGTATCAAATAGGACACAAAACATACATGCAAACATAAAAAAAAAAAAATTCTTGTCTAAATTTGCATTAAACTGTTCCATTAAAATGAATTTTTTTTTTTTTTTTACTATTTTTGTTTTCTATGTTAGGATTTACAAGGTTAAAGACGGCATATTGGGGAGCTCTCCCAGCTATTAATACTCAGGGGACCATGACAAAACATTTTCCTTTAATGTGGCAAGTGAACAAGAAATGAACTCTTTATTTGTAGAAATATGCTGCTTTTGCCTTTTACCCGGTGCATGATCGCCACACTAAACAAAGCATAAATCGAAGTGGTTTGGAGAAATGGGTCACACATAAACTGGGTCTCATCAAAAACAGAGAGTGAGAATAAAGCACAATCCTCAAATCAGCTTTATTCTAAGCCCTCTGCTACTGCTGGATGAGTGTTTATGGCTGTGGTGTTGTGATTCCCCTCCATCTGCAGTGGTTTGATTGTGCACTTCATTTATTAAGTGTCACATGTGTGCTTTTCTTATGAAGGACATAATAAATGAAAACACGTGGATGCTACGCGGGAAAAAGAGATTTAAACTGATTTAGTGACCAAAGGATTTAAAGACCGAATGCTCTACATGAATGATTATCAGAAATGAAGCACAAGCCAGGATGCTCCAATCAATGTGATTCACATGCGTTGTTCAAAAACCAGTCGAAATGATAAAGGCCCTGATTGAATAGATATAATAGCTCTTAATATCTCAAGATATCATTCCTTGTTGACCCCATTAAACTACCTGAGCACCAATGTACAGGGTGGCTGTCCACAGCGTCCCTCGCTCTATGACGCATGATGACGTTTCCTCCAGCCTCGTTCTGACAGACAGGTGAACGGAGCGACGACGCCATGTTGAGCGAAAACGGAAGTGTATTACTCTGCTCTTAAAAACATCTTTAGAATATTTTTTTGAAGAGGATCCGGACACTTTAGAAGTAAAACCCACCCAGAAGGCAGCTGAACCGAATTCTTCTTTTGTTTACGCGTCAGTTAGGGACCATCCTCTTTGCGGGACTCTTTTAGTGCAACTTTACAGTGACTGACAGCGTCAAATCACTTCACGGGGTGATCGCAAGTTACAGATCGGGACTTCGAGATGCCGCTGGCGCAGTTTGCAGACCCCTGGCAGAAGTTGCCTGTGGGGCATATGGAGAATGAGGTAGGTTATATAACGTTTATTTAATCGAGGAGTGTTGTTAGATTGGGTGAGATCGCATTTAATCCGATACTTCGTGTCACGGAGGAATGTCAGTGTACAGTCTCGAAGTGCATTCTTGGACTAACGTTACAAGTTTACAGTTTGCAAACACTGTATTCAGACAAACGGTTTGCGTTTTCGAATTTCGCTACTTTTCAAACTCATAACTGTAATACAGAAAAGTGCGTGATTTATAGTTATAAATCGAGATTAAAATGCAGCGAAGTATTAAAAGCGTTATGAAGAGTTTCTTTTAAATGTTAACTGTGGTGAAACTAGAGAATGAGTAAATCGTCGAAGCAAGACTTGACCAGACAAGCCCAGTACGTGTGTGTATGTGTGTTCGATCTAAGTTTACTTGGGCATTGTAACTTAAAATGGACACTTGCTTGCTTTTTGTAGCTGGTTGAAGTTTGACTTAAGTACGCATTGGGTAATAAACACAGGGTGGGGAACTGCCTTCTTATAGACTGACTGACAGGCATTTTCTCAAAATCCAGTGAGCTCCCAACATACCAGCATTTTTGGGCGTCATAGGCGTGCCAAAAAATGCCATAAATGTGCAAAACACAAGTTTATGATACCCCCAAATACTGTCTGTGTAGGTAGACGGTCCATTAGGTTTTGAGTCATGGCCAAAGTGTTATTTTTTTCATAAATTATGAAACAACTGCATTTTTGCATTCTGGACCTGGACTGTCTTTTGTCCTCTAATCGGAATTTGATCCATTTAGACTTTCACTATTTTCCCTGCAGGCTTGTATGTTTCTGTCTGTGTTCAGATTTAGTCTGTGGGTTACTTTTAGGCCCCCCCCCCACACACACACTTTTTTTAATTGTAAAATTATCTGGATGAGATATTAAATATACAATTTCATTAAATGGCCATACTAATCCTAAATTAAAATACATAGAATTATGCATATTATCCAAATCAGAATATTAAAATGCTTTCTGAAGGATCATGTGACACTGACGACTTAAGTAATTGCTGCTGAAAATTTGGCTTTGCATCACAGGAGTAAATTTAATATTCATTAAAATATATAATAAAAATATATTAAAATAGACAATAGTCATTGCAATATTTTACGATATTACTGTACTTTTGATCAAATGAATGCAGCCTTGGTGAGCCTTTTAAACAGTAGTGTGCATACTGTATGAATATTCAGTGTACTGAAAAATTTACAGTGCAGAGTTATATTCAACTTTAAACAGAGAATAGATTAAATACTAAAATATATAATATGCAAGCAGTTATGTCATGCAAAAAGATACAGTTTGTGTAGTAAGTGTCAGAATCAATCACAATCAAATGATCTACTGGTTTTCAAACCGATCCATAAACTATTTAGAGTATATATTATAATGATCATTTAATAACTTTCAGTATGGCACCAACCCCCTGCTTACTCCAGGAGATGATTATACATGCTGTTGCCTTTAGGATAAATATTTCGTCCGAGTTGCTAAATAGTAACTGGTATTGTCTCTCTTATACTGTTAGCACTCCGTCCTGTCCTACTCTTTCCCTAATTAACTTCCTTTGGTCCAGGCTAATCCTGTGGTCTGGAAATAGCCATCCTACGTTGCATGCTACGTCCCCTGTTTATGCGTGGACCTATAAATAATCACTTAGTCTGTGACTGACTGTATGTAAACAACAATCTTCCACACTGCTGTTTTACTCCCATGTCAACATGTGGTCAGATGATTTGATGTTGCACATAGTCATTAGCCCTCACGGAGCCATTATATTTGCAAATGACAGTAATAGAGGTTTGCAACAGTCATTTAAATACTTAAACTTCTTTCCCTAATAGATTGTGGTTGTGATTTCCTGTACATCTTTTCTGTTCCTGAAGATCACTTCATTTTTTAAATTTTTTTGGTTATAGTTGACATATTGTGATCATAGCCCTTGCAAATGCTGTTTTAACATGATGGCAATAACATATTTTCCTGCATTTTAGGATGACTCCATGGTGGATGATGATGCTCCTGTTCAAGTAAGTTCAAGTATATATGTATTTTGGGTGTGTGTCTGCATATTAGACAGAATATGTCTTGTCAAACTGAATATGTCTGTCAAAACTGATTATGTTGATGGGTCCAAGTACGCCAATATATGGGTTCCTAGCCGTAAGTCAAACAAGCTCTTTGTTCACTGCTTGAGGAGAATTTGATCTACTGCAATGCCCCTCTGTCTTTCAATTGAAAGATGTGTTTCTTATGTAAGCAAGTCGGCTTTTAACATCACATTTCCTGTCTCAGAGTACAGCCTGGTTTTATTGGTTTCCTGTTGGATGAGTGACATGGCAAGCGGCCAGTAGGAGAAGAGGATGTTCAGCATTCACTTCAAGCTGAGCTTCATTTTCCAACAACCCAGCAGAAATGTTTCTGAAAGCTGTCAGATCACTTGATAGGGCTGTTTGTGACCCAGAGGAGTGGGTTCACTCACTATATATACACTGAACAAAATCATTTTTTCTAGGGCTGCACGATAAATATCGCACGATATTTAATGCGCATCTCGTCAGTAAAGCCGGTTCTGTAATCAGAGGTAAATCTCTACACGTGCGTGCTTTCACGTGGAGCAGCATTAAGTACACAGAGCTGTAGTTCACAGACAAGCTGCGCAAAACCACGATCATATTTTGTGCATGTTTTGCGCAGCTTGTCTGCACATTTTAGAGTGGCCACAATAAAAGGCCACTCTAAAATGTGCAGGTTTACTCTATTGGGAGGTCCGGGGGGGTCCGAAAACCAGTCAGTATCTGGTGTGACCACCATTTGCCTCACGCAGTGCTAGGGATGTAACGGTATGAAAATTTCTTATCACGATTCATCTCGTCAGTAAAGCCGGTTCTGTAATCAGAGGTAAATCTCTACACGTGCGTGCTTTCACGTGGAGCAGCATTAACTACACAGAGCCGTAGTTCACAGACAAGCTGCACAAAACCACGATCATATTTTGTGCATGTTTTGCGCAGCTTGTCTGCACATTTTAGAGTGGCCACAATAAAAGGCCACTCTAAAATGTGCAGT